AATAAGAGCGTGAGAAGGTGATAATCTGATTGGCTAATACACTGTTAATAGTTCAATCTCTGTCTATTTTACTGTTATCTGATTGGTCAGTTTTAATCTTGTGTTACCGGTTAGTGTGTTCACACAGTGATTTTCTTATTATCTCCTACTGTGCATCTTAGGTGTGGGTTAGGGGGACGGAGAGATGACAAAAAAATTTTATTCCAAATCCTTCTTGCACAGCAGGCTGTTGTTCCAGTTTTTCATACATGTACCTTCTTCATCTTCAGATTCTTTTTCTTCATTCACTTCTTCTTTCACCTCTTCCTCCACCYCTTTATGCTTTCTTTTCTTGGGTTTACTATCAATAGTAGAGTCGGCATCTGGATTGTAAGTCTTGATTTGACTAAAAAATAAAAATAAAAAAGTACACTTTATAACTGACAATATTCAAAATATTTCATAAGTATCTGCAATTTTCACTGTGTGAACACGAACAAAGTTTTTCTTTAGCTTATCAGGAGAGAGCAAAATCAGCATCACATTAACCTCAGCTAATCAAAATCTGTCAATCATGTTCTTTCCCTCAGTTGTTTTTAACATCTCAGTTGTGAGCCAAATTGGAAACCAGTTAATTTTGTACTGAATTTGTCTGCCCACTTGAAATAAAGTTCGTATATGTTTGTATGTTTCTCTCAGACATCTGGGCTTTGATGCTTGCTCCTGATTGGTTCATGCTATGGCAAGATACGTAGTTACACTTACCTTTTATTTTCATATTTGTCAAACTTTGCTTGACTTTTGCCTGTTCCACTTATCTTTCGCATCTGAAATAAAAAATTCAAAAATAATACCATAACCTATTTATTGCTTGGTTACTATTGCTGTGGCTGTTGCGATGATGATGTTGTAGTTGTTGCTCTTGGTATAGGGAAAAAGTGTGGTTGCCATAGTGTTATTATTTTGATTAATGTACACTTTGTTGTAATAGTTGTTGTTAATGTTGTTATTGTTGCTGTTTCTGTGGTTGTCATCGCTATTTACTTGCCATCTTGTCATCCTTATTCACCACCACAAGTACAGCAGTGCCTCAGCTCAAAGGACTCAAACTGAAAGCTTATGAAGGCACCTCTGAGAGCCGCTATAATACAGTCCATGTATGACATAGTTGTTGCTGCTACTGATCTAGATTTTGTCATCGTTAGTGTTGCTTTGGCTGCCCATGTACAGTAGGTGTCGTCTTTGCTGTTGTTGTTGTTGCTATTGATATATTTGTTGTCTTTGCTATTGTTGTTGCTATATATGTTGTTGTTGAACCAGAAGCTGTGTTTATGAGTGTTGTTTGGTTGCTGATGTACTGCTGTAGTTATTTTAGTTTCTTCTACTGTTGTTGCTAAAGATGTTGTTATTGTTTATAGTGTTTCTTGTACATGTGTGTCTTACCTGTCCATCCTCAAACATCTTCAGCCTTGCCTCCAGCTTGGCCTTGTTCTCAATACCCATCTCAGTAGTGGTGTCTTCCCCTAGAGCATCTACACGGACAGCAAGAGATGCCTTGGCTGCAAGCATTCTAGAAATCTGTTGATGCAAGTATCAATGATTTCAGTATTTATTTACTCACAAAGTGAATAACACTGGCAGCCATCTTCTACGCAAGGAGGTACACTAGTGCCATACTGTACACAAGTTTCTTTAGGACGCTTAAAACCAACCCATGTCCCGATTTAAGGCTCAATGACTAGTAACTGACATGTCTGCCTTGAAACATAAAATTACTGGAATGGGGAGGGTGACTGTAATTGTTGAATGGGGGAGGGGAGGGTGTCACTGTCATGAATTTTTATTGGCATCAACTTTTTAACTTTTTTTACATACCGGTAACTTACTAAAGCTCCCTAGCTATCGCAGCTAAAGTTTATTTATTTATTCGATTTCTGCTATATTACAATAAAGTGGCCTTGCCCCAACATATCTGTCTGATCTTCTGTGCTATCGTTCTTCTTCTTATGCTCTCCGATCTATCTCCAACAAACTTCTGGTTGAACCTAAAGCTAGGCGTACTACGTATGGTTTCAGGTCATTTTCCTTTGCTGCTCCCAGATTATGGAATAGGCTCCCTTTTGAGATTCGCTCTTGTACTACTCTTGCTTCCTTTAAAAGTAAGCTTAAAACTTATTTATTTACTTTATTCCTTAATAATAGGAAATATATTTAGATCTCTTTTGTTTGATTCATTTCCTGCTTTTATGCATATTGCCTTTAGGTTTTTAAGATAAGTTTTTCCTTTTATAATTAGATTTACTTATTAATATTTTAAATACGTAGCATTGTAAATATTGTAAATACATATATATA